TCTAAAATAAACGAATAAGTTTATGCATAGTACACCAAACAATAAAAAGCGGAGATTTAAGAGGATTAACCAAATAACAGCATCGTATGCACCCTTCCGGAGACACCAGTCAACTATGTGCTACTTCACGTTCTCATTCTTATCTCGCGCAACATAATTAACTAACCTCAATGACATTCATAGGAGGAGAAAATATTGCACGGCTTTTACGAGACGCTAGAAAAGCCCCACTGTCTGCGTAAACGCGCTAGGGTATGTCACATCTTTTAAGTAGCAGACGCCTCGGCACAGGACCATCGCTTTTTCTATTGTGCACGTCTACCGAAGAGTAATGAATTCGTCGAGGTCATTGCTGCATAAAATGAATTCCTTTGCTGTTCCGAACGAAATGCACGGCTCTGGTGCACACTGTCGTGTTGAAGGGTGATCCTGAAAATAGCGAGGTTTATAATTAGTGATGTGCATCCATGCCTGAAAGCCGTTTCACATGGAGCGACCGCAAGAAAAACATCCCTGCGACTTTCAGTTTCCTGCGCCAATGAGACGTGATTGAGTGAACCCTTATAAACTTGCCGATTAAAGTGTTCCGTAACGAATATCTTAAATCTTCTAGGAACTTACCTAAAAAAATTTAGACCTCTTTGCATCATGAGCTGCTGTCACATTTTCTGTAGGAACTTGACTTTCAGTTGTCATAGGTGATTCTCCTAGCGAAAAAGTGAAAGCTGCTTACAACTCCCTGTAACGCCGAATTAGAGCGCAGGTCTTGAGGAGGAGGAGGGAAGGGCACTGGGGGGGGGGGGGTTAAACTAACCAGGGGGGGTCACGTGACCTTGGGGGGTCACGTGACCTTGGGGGTCACGGGACCCCCAATGCCGATGATGTCATCACTGACGTCATCAGTGACGATGACGATGCGGGTACCGATGACGTCATTAGTGACGTCACTGAAGACTTCACCAGTGATGATGACGATGACGATGCGAATGTCGGTGACGTCATCAGTGACGTCGCTGATGACGTCATCAGTGATGATTACGATGACGATGCGGATGTCGGTAACGTCATCAGCGATGATGACGATGACGATGCGGATGCCGGTGACGTCATCAGTGATGATGACGATGACGATGCGGATGCCGGTGACGTCATCAGTGACGATGACGATGTGGATGCCGTGACGACATCAGTGACGTCACTGATGACGTCATTAGTGATGATGACGATGACGATGCGGATGTCGGTAACGTCATCAGTGATGATGACGATGACGATGCGGATGTCTGTGACGTCATCAGTGATGATGACGATGGCGATGTGGATGCCGGTGACGTCATCAGTGATGATGACGATGTGGATGCCGGCGACGTCATCAGTGATGATGACGATGACGATGTGGATGTCGGTGACGTCATCAGTCACGATGACGTCATTGGGGGGTCACGCGACATCGGCGGGGGTCACGTGACCTAAGGGGAGTCACGTGACTTCGGGGGGTCACGTGACCTCGGGGGGGGGTCACGTGCCCCCCACGAGGTCACGTGACCCCGGTGGGGGGGCTCGCGCGGTGCATTATGGGACATTTCCCATGATGCACCGGGGTCACGTGACCTCGGGGGGGTCACGTGCCCCCCCACGAGGTCACGTGACCCCGGTGGGGGGCTCGCGCGGTGCATTATGGGACATTTCCCATGATGCACCGGGGTCACGTGATCTTGGGGGGGTCACGTGCCCCCCCACGAGGTCACGTGACCCCGGTGGGGGGCTCGCGCGGTGCATTATGGGACATTTCCCATGATGCACCGCGCGGTTACGCCGACGCCGACGCCGACGCCGACGGCGACGGCGACGCCGACGGCGACGCCGCTCAAGCCGGAAACGGGCCCCTAAGAGCTGCGCTCTAAAACAGAAGTTGCGGTAAAACTTCTGTACGACTACTTTTCAGTAGATGGCGAAATCCGAGCGTAACCAATTCAACAATGACGAAAGCTTATCTACATCTCTGTGCATGTCTGGTGGGTGCCAAGAGTGATTGCAGGCGCCTATAGGTGTCTGCGGCCAAAGCTGCACCTTCGCGACGGTTCTTTAAAAACCAGAGCACGGGTATGATGATCTTAGACAGGAACCTTTAAAAACTCCGCTGAGGACGGTGCTACGAACTGCCACAGCGGCAAAAACAACCTCATGATCGGCGCAGCCTTGCACATCTGAAAGAAACGCGCGCTTTCTTCTCGCTCAGACGATACGAAAACCACCCCGAAGCACCTCAGTCGTCGGTAGCATTCGTATAGACGATGACTTTAAAACTGTGTTGCCAACGTTAGGGAGTTTTCCCTGGATCTAGGGATTTCAGTCATCGTTCAGGGGCAAAGGGAAATGTGTTCAAATCTAGGGATTGTTTTTAATGGATATCAGAGGGCATTAGAGAAACGTTCCTTCCCTTTTTCCTCCTCGTGTCGGCCGAGTGCAGCGGGGAAAGAGGCTTCTTTGTAAATTGCCAAGGCCAGAGATTATCTCCAGTAATAACAACAGCGATTTTGGGGGGCCCCCACAAGGCCAAAGTAATAAAGTTTAGTTATGTAAAAAGGTTTCATCGAAGCAAATTTAACCTTTAAATAACCACCCAACAACAAGAATCTATTCTTAAGCTATTCCATAACGATAATCTCAATAATAACGCGAATTAAGACATTTTCTAGATATCTAGGGACCTCTAGGGAATCTGATATACGATCTGGGGAAGGAACGACCGCGGAGCTTGGCAACACTGCTTCATATTCTTCTAACAAAAAAGAGGGGGAGGGGGAAGGGCGGAGAAAGTTCGCAAGCATCACGCCTGCCCCAAGCGAGTTATGTGAGAGCCCCGACCGCGCAAGTTGAAGCAGGCCTTCTCCGAAAGGGCCAGCCAGTAGTCACAGGCAGATGTGAATGACAGCAGAAACTCGCTGTGGTGATCGTTTTTACTTCTTTTCTTGCAGCTTTTTTGTTTCTCTGTTCGCCGAGCAAGAGAAGCGGGCAAATAGGAGCTACATCAGCAAAACATCTGTTTTGCTTCGTTTTGTTGTTCTTTTTTTTTTGTGAAAAAAGCCGTTTAAAATTAAGGTGTTCTTTTCGTTGATTTTTTCTTCTTTTTCTTCATATACAACCGGGACAAAGAAACCAAGGTTCCGTCGGGTCACTGAATTGAGGATTTTAAGCCGCAGCAACAAAAAGGCTGTATATTCTTTTTTTAAGTGGCATTTTTTTATAAATTGTAAGGTGATTCTAGAGCCCTTAAATACGATATGCTTCCCTTCAGTGATTAGAGTGCTTAACATTATTGTTCCCATTTATCTGGAGCATTATTTTGAGTCGCGAGAAACGCGTTTTCGTCCTTCATAAATGTTGAAGCGGTCCGCGACGGAGCGAGCTGAGCTTTTTGTACACTATCTAAAGCTCAAGTAGCCTTAGTTTCGAATCGTAACAGTCGCCCTCGCTCCCTTCAGGCCGCCTCCCGTGGTGTGAAGCGCCATCTAGTTTTTCTTTGCAAAACTGGGTTGAATAGAGTATGGCGAAACGTCATCTAGACGCTGTGCTTCGTAACATAAGCATTCCATTAAATACAATGCAATTACCGTCACAACCGCCCCCCCCCCCCCCCCCCCCCCCCCAAAAAAAAATCGGTGGCGCGTTGTATGACGGGAGGCCAGTCTTGAAAAGGGCGAAGCGAGGTACTGCTAGTGCCTTCGTAACTGTGCTAGTCTAGTAACGTTGGCAAGGGCTTATGTGCAGCATGAGTAATGTAACTGACATTTTTGCATGACGGGCAGTGTGGGCTCAATCCTTTCCCCTGCCAATTTTGATATAGATAATCATTGCATCCACGTGCGGACGTGATTTCGCTACTCAGCAATAAACAGTAAAAGCCCCAGTCGTCGTGTCCCAGTCAAATGACCCCTCTGCGGTACGGCACCAGTATTTATTACCAGATATCATGAGCAGACAATACTTGCGCTGTGCAGACATTCAAAACTCCGAATGGGCATTCGCGGTACGAGTGATCTCGTAATAGTCTTTGTGTTACAATTTTAGGTATGTTTTTTGTGTGTGCGTACTGCTTAGTGTTTTCGGTAACGAAGTAACTTACTCGTTACTTTTCAGAAGATTGACGTATAACGCACTTACGGTACTCATTTCAAGTAACGGATAACATAGTTTCAATACTCGCTAAATCTTCCCAGAGCATAAACAAAATTACTTACATTTTTTCGTGTTTCTTAGCACCAAGTCGCATGGATTCTTGCACTCGTTCCACGTACTTTTAAAAGTTTGCCTATAGTTAATTACCTTAAGATAATTACCTTTATTATCTTAAAATAGTTCTTTTTAGTGTAACATGACATAACACCACGGAGTGATACCGCGACCGCGGAGCGCGCGCTTAAAAGCAAACTTCAGAGGCTTCAGCAGCGCGGTACATGTTAACGGTTTGCTAAAAGTCAGTAATATTTCTTGAAATACATCACTTATTGAAACCTGTGACGTCAAAACAGTAAAACGTCTTAATTCATAAATAAAACGTAGCACAAAAGTAACTCGCGTTACTTTTTGATGGTAATGGTAACGGAAACGCGTTCCTTTTATTTCGAGGTAACGTACTTCAGTAACGCGTCTCTTCTAGGTACGGTTCGGATTATCTGACAGCAGTTATGCCAAGAAGGTTGGGCGGGTATTGTTTCGAAATAAAACAATAATAAAACTTAGCATCTTTCTCGAATATAAGTGTTATCTGCAACATTGCTCGTTGCCTCTAGGGAATAGCAAAATTTAATGCGTTTATGGATGAAGGAAGAATAATACAATTAAGACAGGGAAAACACAACCACATCTTTCATGAAAGATGTGGATGTGTTGTCCCTGTTTTAATTGTTTTATTCTTTCTTCATCCATGACTTGAACCAACACGCTCTTCTCCCAAGCATACTTAATGCGTTATCGCGCTTTCTTATCTCCTATCGCAGGAGTGGTGTCGACGCACGGTCCTCACGCATCCCTGCAAGACTCACCAGGACTGCTTTTGCCCACGAACCAAATTCTTCTGCTCCGCCGGCAGGTGTCGCTCATCGCCCGTCAGGAAAGGTAAATGGAGAGGCGCGCTACCGCTGGACGAAAGTCACCTGATGCCAGGCCTGTATCGGGAAAGTTGGTCCGCCTCTCGCATCCCCGCGTTTCTGCTTAGACTTTAATCTCCAAGAAACGCCTCGAATTTCAGACACAATAATCGTCTGCGGTTTGTGCTAGCACGCTATTTTTGTTGTCCCCTTTTTTAATGTCAGTTCAATTAAAGAGCCGAGGAATGACTACTGTAGTTAAAAGCCAGAATTTGTGATGTTTGTTACCCCAATAGATTTTTTTAACTACTTCTGGTGTTTCTAAATTATTTTCGACATTGAATTCGAGTGTTTCCTCTGACGCAAATTTGTTTTTCAACGGCTCAATTTCACGAAGACTTGATTTTTTTTTTCAGCATAAAATACACCTTTACCGTGACGTTACATGTCCTAGAAATGTCCAAATCAATATTTAACACATGTCTGAAACACAGATACGAACCTTCCGTGTATTTATGTGAAAACTTTCGTAAAACCCCGATGAGTTCCTCAGTTTAAATTTTGTTTAGGACAAAACAACTGGAGAAAAGCACCCTAAATGCGGCGATTTATCGCGAATATGTTTTTTCCAAGATTAAACAATTCAAAGGAAACAAAAAGTATGCTCATAAAAGATTTTGTTTACAGATTAAATGCTGCTTTAAGAACACTACAATTGATATCAACCGCCAATAGCGCGAATTATGTCCTTTATAACCGTGTACGATAGCTTTTAAAACTAATCATATGGCCTTTACTGACCTCGTCTGCTTAACGCGCCCAAAAAATGAGCGAGCGAAGGAAACGAGAGCAGTGACGTCAGAAAGTCGAGTTGGCATGATTAGTGGATAGACCTAGAGCTAGCTGCCCTAGTCTCCAATGCACTCGCCGAACGAGTTTAAACTCAACGGCCAAACGGCAGGCACCGGCGTTCTATGTTCTAACGTGTTTGTCGAGCCCAGTGGAGACGAAGGCAGCTAGCTTGAGGTCTACCCCCTAATCGCTCCAACCAGAACTCGGCGTTCTCACGTCCAAGCGCGCTCTCGTCTTCTCCTCTCCCTCACTTTCTGCCCATGAAGGTGACAGCAATTGTTTCCGCTAAGAGTCCACCATTGCTACTGGATTCTGGGAAAGTAGCCCCAAGATCCCTCGCATGGTCGCCATTTTGGTTCGTGGAATGAGCAGTTCCTCCTTGACCCCGCCATTCATGGTGAGCCGATCCAACTTACCGGAAATGAGTTTCTTTATCGAGACATTTCTTGAATACCAAGATTTAGTTTTCCACTCACCGGCCAAAGGAAGCGCATATCGTGGCACCACCATTACGTGCGGCGTCGGTGCTCGGCGGCATTGAAAATATTTTCTTGTCTTTAGAAACGCGAGAACATAACCATCGTGGAAGATCTGTGGAGAAGAAGGTGATTGACAAGTGCATTGCATGCACAATGCCAAGCACGCTTATATCGGAGAAGAACGCTTGAAGCACGATGATGCTTCATGGCGATCTTGGCACGACTGTTTCAGGAGGACCTTTTCGAACCTTCGAAGATTTGAATAGATCGAAATGGCGATTGCCGTGGCAACTGAGACCGATAAGATAATCGCATTTCGAGGTTTCTGTCGTCTGTATGTCAGTATCTGTTTGTGCCCGGCTAGCAGGCAGGGAAGGAAACGGCACTACTTTCCCAGTATCCGGCGACTTTAGAGTTAACAGCCCGGCTGGACTATCGAAGAATCGAAATTTCGAGAATTAAAGTCGGCTGGTATATGTTCCATTTCTGTCCTCCTTCGATAACGCGTCGGTGTCTTGTGAGCCTCGAACGTTCACGCGCAAAACCCAAGCACAAAGAAAGCCAATGCTGTTACTGCAAAACACGGATGTTGTGACACTCCTTACGTGATAGCGTAAATGCCGTCGGATTTCTTTTTGTTGGTTGTAAAGAACATTCGTGTATGTATTTCAACTCGTGACTTCATGCAGTTTTATAAAAAAAATTCACCGTTTTTTTTTGTGATTTTCTTTTATGGTAGCGTTTTGCCGCTAAGCGACACCAATCGAGCAACCGTGATCACGATCAGATTTTTTTTCTTTTAATATTGTTGCTGGACACGCGCGTGGCAGTTGGAGCTCAACCGCTCGATTATCTTGTCCCCCTGGCAAGGCCTGTTTTATTTTACTCATTTCCCGCGATATCCCAAGTTCTCAGAGCGGCCGCTGCGAATCAAGTTGAGCCTGGTGGCGCTACATCGTCCCAAACGATAGTTTGAAAAGAACAACAAGAAAGGGCTCGAGGTACGAGGAACGTGGATCTGTCCTCTAGGGTTGACATCGCGGCAACGACATCACCATAATTTAAACGCCCCGGCACTAAGGAAAGAAGAGTCCGCTCTTCCGCTATAGAAAGACATCAGTTAGCGAAAAACATAGTTTTCAACCTGCAACCGCGATCTACAAAGATCGAGTTTACATATTGCCATACACCTTTTCCAAAAAAACACTTTGGAGATCCGTGACGCCGCTGGAGAGGCCGCCCGCAGTCATTCGTTGAGTTGTTCGCATTCCGCACTAACTCCTGCGGTGAACTCACGAGCTGCAGCGCATTTGCTGGACTAACTCCGATGAGAGTCAGGCCGTTTACAGGGACGAAGTGATACCGATTGAGCAACTGTGATCAGGATCTCTGAAAACATCGGGTGACGACAACATTCAGGCAGGCAAAGCAGAAACGACGCTAAGATTTAGAAGGGTGTTTCTTCTTTACGCCGAGCAAGTGGTCTGAAGTGCGTCTTTGGCGCATAGGAACGTAAGCAGGGTCACGCCAATCAGGGGGCAGCATGGATAATTAACGAGCAGGGAGCGAGCGATGACGAGTCAGCCAAGCGCGCGCTTTTAATGGTCCAGCTCGAGGGGCTTAAAGGAAAGCATGTGGTCGCATTTTGGCGGGTAAGCAACCGCACGAGGTACACATAAAGCCCCTCCATGTGAAAAAGTAGCGCAAGGTGCGTCGCTGCACGAGGCACGTGCAACGTGCAGCAATTGGGAAGATCAGGGGGGCACAGCGCAGCACTGAGCTAGATTTCAGACGCCATGTTCTTCCCAGAAGTGGCGCGCTTGTCGCGCGCCACTTGTGGGCATTTCCACGACAATGAACGGCGCCACTTTTCCCAGAATATGGGGGCTTTAGCTACACAAGGACCAGGCGAACTTCCACTCAATGTAGTGACCAGACATGTACAGAGCGCGACACTGTTAGCGCGAACAATCGATCACCGATTTTTCCAGTTTTTCTCTTTGAAACCAAGGGATGTCATCGAAGTTATTATTACAACGGAAATAGCTCATTCAGTTCTATAATGTAAGCGAAAACATTTCGTGCTCGCTAATACTATTAAGAAGTAAAATGCGAAAATGCGCCGATGTCGTGTTCACGCTAACAGTGTCGCGATGTGTACGTATGTCATGTTCCTCCGCGGGGACGAGGGCACGTCGAAAGACGAAGCGACACATAAGTAGACGAACAAAATTCATTTACTCACAAGCACAAAAGAAAGCAGAACAGAAAACAAAATTATAAGCAGAAGTGAAAGGAAAAAAAAAATAGAGTGGTTAAATAGCTACAGTCAATACAGACAATCTCGGTCGCGCGCTGAGAACACTCACAGTCTCGAGCGTCGAACTTGTTTGGAACGGAACGCGGCCTTGTTCCTCGATGTTACGGGTGTGGATCCAAGCTTGCTAGGAGCTCTAGGCCTTCCAGCACCGGTTCGATGGTATCCTTTGACGGACCAGGTACGCGGCCTGGGTTGACAGGAGTGTTGCGAGGCCACCCCTTCGCGTCCGCCTTCGAGCTCAAAGTCCGATGCTCCGAGCTTCCGGTGCGAGCAGCAGGCACCACGTCGCTCCGGCTCGATGGCGGCGAGAAGACCTGGAGCGGAGCCAGGGTTCACCAGGAGCGAAGCCTGGCTGCCGGGAGCGTTCGCGTGTCAGCTGCCGCCCTTCAGGTTCAGTCGTCGAATGTCTTGCGCGAGCTTCTCCTTTCCCTTTTGCTCGAGCTTATCCTTTCCCTTTCGCTCGAGCTTGCCCCCTTCTTCGTCTTCTGCTTACACCGTCACCTCAGGAACGTGACACTCCCCCCTTCTTCAAGAGCCTCACTTCCTGAGGCGAATAGCGGTCAAAGTTCTGATGAGATGTGCGTCACGTCGTTGGCGTCGCTGGTCTTCCTCACAACGCTCACCACACACACACGCATCAAAACATCAACATACGCATAAAAACAAAATAAGACCTTGATATTCGCACCAGTCTTAACACTGTTCATAACGCTCGTTCAGGCTTGGCAGTTTATCCTTTGAAAGTTTCGGCCCGACGTCTGCTTCTGGAAACATTACTGTAACTTTCCTTTAACTTTGTTCCAAATGAACTCAAAGCTTCCCGGTGCATTATATAAGCTAGTCACGACTCCTCACACGCGACTCATAAAGTCAGCCCCCACGTTGTCCCTACCCTTAATATACTCTACATGAAAACTTTGATCTTGCAACGTCCAAAGGCTGATGGTCGTGTGTACCTTGAAAGTTCTCCCGTACAACAACAACTTGAATCCTTGCGATCTGGTGATATCTTCCCTAGTTGAAGAACTGTTCAAAAGAGACTTAAATTTATACTGTAAGCTATTACTGGACACTAAGTCCAAGAAGACAAGAAAACGAACAGTCACAAACTGGATTCCAAATAACTGGCCTGGAACTAGCGAAGTATCATCACAAAAGTTCGAAAACCCGAAGTTTGTTTAGAGTTCGAATACCACGTATAACTCACTTACCAAGTGAAAGTTTAAAAAGAAAACACTGAAACCGCCATGACAACAGTGCGAAATCCAAAGACGAAAAACAATCAAAAACGACGCAGCTTATGACTTGCAGCAGACGCTACAAACATGCTGTGTACAAAGTCCTGTCATAATTTCAGTATTAAATTGGCCTTCTTAATCTAAATTAGCTAACCGCCCAACCTGGGCCTTCGAGCTGACCAGCTCGGCGTAGGACCTAACCGCGTCTTGGCGTCACACTCAATCTGTGCTAGGCTGGTCTCAGCCGAATCGGACACAACCTCTGAGCATTTAGTGCTTCCGGTTTGTTCTTGTATCCGAA